GCCCAGCCTTGGTTGAGGAGTGAGGACGGACCGCCGCCCGGGTAAGTCCCTGTTTTTTTCCTTATCTTTGGGTAGTTAGCTCCGGGGAGTCGACGGGGCTCCCCCCAGAAATCCAGCATTGAATAATGAAACGCCATTTTCTGGGCGAGTCCCGGAGGCTCCCCGGCATCCCTCCCTCCCTCCGGTCGGCGGTGTTTTTCGCGTTTTTGACATCCAGCCTAAGCCTAAGGTTGGGTCGCCGACGGTGGGGTCTGGGACTCCCCCCTTCCCCCTCCCGGGGAGGGGGGGGTTGCGCAGACGGCGGCGCGGCGACATGATGACGTCATGAGGGCTAATTTTCGTTTGGGGAGTTCTGTCCACCTGTTCGGTCTTCGGTCGCAATAGTTTGCCAGAATAGGGGTTTGTTTTGGGGCGCCTACCTTTCTGGGTGCCTGTCCCGGTCAATGGCAGACATAGAATGCTCCCAATCATAAGGGGGGTCTCTATAGGCCATTGCTCCTCGAGCCTCTCTTAGAGGGGGCCAGGTTCTGGCTCGTGGTCCCCGGTAGGCAAGAATTCCATGCATTGACTGATGCCAGAAAGTTATACATATCCATTCAGCCTGGATAGCTCCGGGGAGCCTCCGAGACTCACCCAGAAAATGGCGTTTCATTACATTCAACGCTGGATTTTTGCTTTTATTCACTATCCACAGATGTTAAATATAAGTATCTACATGTTTTGTTCACCATAACTATACATCTAAGCTTGTATGGTGAGTTCAAGCAAAAAGAGATGTAGCTACACACACAGTTAGCTGGTGGCTGCTGCCGTCATTGGTTCAAAGCCAGATGCACTAATATTTCTCAAATAATACTGTTTGTGGGGTTATTACACTATATACACACATTATATATAAGTATCTACATGTTTTATTCACCATACCTGTACAAATAAGCTGGTATGGTGCCCAAAGACCATAGTGGCCACCAGTAAACAACATGACATGTCATGCAGACTACGCACCTCCCTCACCAAAATGGTGGCTCTCAACATACTCCTATTGCTGTTATTACACATTATGCACACAATATATATAATTATCTACATTTGTGTTCACCATAGCGAACCACTAAACTCGTATGGTAAGTTCAGTCAATAAAAGGTGGCCACACACAGTCAGAAGACGACGCTACCACCCTCCCTCTCTCAACATGACTCGTCCCACTATAGAGCACAGCGCTAAATATCACCACAATCCTGCTATTATCAGAATCCTGGTCAGTTTTATCACAGTCAAGAGTCTTCTGTAATACTATCATCATTGGCTATTATCAGAATCCTGGTCAGTTTTATCACAGTCAAGGGTCTTCTGTAATACTATCATCGCTGAATAATAGAAGTTACATATATATATTTTGAGATTTTTAGGTGATGCTGTAGTCACAAGCTGAACAGCTATGCTGTGAGCTCGTGCTGCATGCGCCAGCCTTGGTGGCTCGCTCAGTACTGATGCTCTCACACCCAGGAATGTTGGCCACGATTTTTTTTCTAGGTGGCGTCTGCCAACTATCAGTTGTGGCTGCACTATAGCTGCCCCTATCCTACGTGGGATGTTTAAATTAAAGCACTAGACACTAAAACAGCTATTAACCCTTAAATGGCGCATGGCTATATACCATTTGACACCCACAGGCGCATACCAAAAAAAAAAAAAAAAAAAAAAAAAAAAAAAAATCTTTCTAACCTGTTAATTTGTGTTCACTGATCATGGGAAAAATAATAAAAAATCGTAAGTGGCATATATTGCCCGCTATAGGGCGGAGAAGTCTGGCAAAAAACAGGCGCTGACTTAGCGTGCGTCCCAGGCAGTCTGTTGCTCGCCAGCTGTCAGGCCGGAGTTGCCACAGAGATAATTACCTAATTATTTCAATGTCACTGATTGATTTTTCGTATTTTTTTTTTTTGCTGTAATATTATTCAATAGTGTGTAGTGTGATATATTTATATAATAAAATGAGTGAATCATCGCTGTACTCAAAAATATGGTGTGCATATTGTTGATTCAATTATGTTCATCAAACAGTGAACAAATACTTTGTTGGTTATTACACTATATATACAGGTTATATATAAGTATCTGCATGTTTTGTTCACCATAACGAACCACTAAGTTGCTATTATAAGTCAAAAAGTAACGAGGAGTGACTGCCACACACCAGCCAGCCACTCGCTCCCTCAACACCTCACTCGCCCACATTCTCCTCCCACCATACTGTTTTTGCGTTTATATACAGATGTTATATATAAGTATTTACATGTTTTGTTCACCATAACTGTACATCTAAGTTTGTATGGTGAGTAAAGTCACAAAGATGTAGCTACTCACACAGTCAGCTGGTGGCTGCCGACCTCAAGGCCAGGCGCACTAATATTTCTCCTCCAACAATACTGTTTGTGGTGTTATTACGCTATATACACACATTATATATAAATATCTACCTGTTTTATTCACCATACTTGTACAAGGAAACTGGTATGGTGCCCAAAGACCATCGTGGTCACCAGTAAAAACATGATAAATCGTGCAGACGACGCCACCGCCCGCACCAAAATGACGGCTCCCAACCTACTCCTCTTGCTGTTTATACCCTCTATACACATGTTATATATAAGTATCTACATTTGTGTTCACCATAGCGAACCACTAAGCTGGTATGGTGAGTGCAGTCAATAAAAGGTGGCCACATTCCATGAGTCAGGCTCCTGGGCCTGACTCATGGAATTCAATATTCATAAAGAAATGTAAAGTACCAGTAGCTAGAGCACTCAGCGTAATATGGAGAAAGAGCCTGGATACAGGGGAGATACCAGCAGCACTTAAATCTGCAGATATAGCTCCGTTGCACAAGGGGGGGAGTAAAGCCTTGGCAAAAAATTATAGGCCAGTTGCACTAACATCACACATAATAAAAGTGTTTGAAAGAGTGATTAGGAATCAAATTTCTAGTTTTATGGAAAACAATAAATTGCACAATCCAGGACAACATGGATTTAGAGCGGGAAGATCCTGTCTGTCACAGTTACTCAACCACTATGACAAAATCACAGACGCCCTAGAAGAAAAGCAAAATGCAGATGTTGTATACACAGACTTTGCAAAGGCGTTCGACAAATGTGACCATGGGGTGATAGCTCACAAAATGAGGTCAATGGGAATAACTGGAAAAGTAGGACGCTGGATACTCAATTTCCTGTCGAACAGAACACAAAGAGTAACAGTCAATCAGATAAAATCGAGTCCAAGCGATGTTAAAAGCTCTGTACCTCAAGGTACAGTCCTTGCACCACTACTGTTCCTAATTCTCATATCTGATATAGACAAAAATACACGTCACAGCTTCGTGTCGTCCTTTGCAGATGACACAAAAATCAGCATGAAAATTACCTCTGCTGAAGACATTGAGAAACTACAAGCAGATGTCAACAAAGTTTTCGATTGGGCAGCAGAAAATAACATGGTGTTTAACAGTGATAAATTTCAGGTACTCAGGTAGGGCAAAAATGAGGACTTTAAACATAATACAGGGTACAAAACACAATCGAATTTGCCATAGAAGGAAAACAGCATGTCAAGGATTTGGGAATAATGATGTCCGACGACCTAACGTTTAGGGAGCATAACCAAGCAAGTATAGAGGGAATACAGAGAACATATACGGCACGCATAGATGAGATAAAACACCTAAATTATTGGGATCGTCTCAAAGCTCTCCAAATGTACTCTCTAGAAAGGAGACGAGAGAGATAACATATAATATACACACGGAAAACACTGGAGGGTATCAAGCACACACAGTCAGAAGACAACGCCACTACCCTCCCCTCCCACAGCATTACTCCTCCCTCCGTGGAGCACAGCGCTAAATATCACCACAATCCTGCTATTATCAGAACCCTGGTCAGTTTTATCACAGTCAGGGGTCTTCTGTAATAATATCATCGCTACATAATAGCATGAACAAGTATATTATGGCATTTTTAGGCGATGCTGTGGTCACAAGCTGAACAGCAGTGCTGTGAGCTCATGCTGCGTGTGTCAGGCTTAGTAGCTCACTCAATACTGAGGCCTCTAACATCCAGGAATTTGGCCCACGATTTTTTTAAAAATGGCATCTGTTTACAAGAGCGCTGATGAAGGTCTGGTGAAGCCCGTGTATCCGCGGGCCGTTTAAATCTTGCGTAGTACTCCAAAGCATCATATGATGGTTTTGTTACTCAAATCATCACAGTATGTATTGCGTGATCTAAGGGTTAAGGCGCATCTGGGATCCTCTCAGACGTAGGTTCAAACCCTCATCACTGCCCTTGTGGATTTGTTCACCTAACTATTGTGTTCCTAATTGTCAGGATTCCTAATATTTTCCTTACAGTTGTTTGTCTTAGAGTACTTTACCTTTCTTGTGGCATTCCTCTTGGGGTGGGTTGTTCTAATATACCCAGTCTCTCTGTGCCTCTAATGAGTTGACCAGGTTCTGGTTCTGATCTGCAGTAGACTTTTATAACTCACAAGGGCCTGGTAGGAAATGAATGTGTTGAGTTACGCAGGCAGCTAGTTTCCAGGGAGCCACCGAGAGGCCCACCAGAAAGAGGTATTTCATTACATTCCACACTAGATTTTGGAAGGGCTACTGTATTTAATTATTTGTGTACAAATTCCTTTTTTTTGTGTACATTACTGTATATATATTAAATATGTGTAGCTCTAACTTGTCCATAAATTAACATTTTGTTTTGCTTTTGCGAGTCACTATGAAGGCCTTGGTTCAGAATATTTATGGAAAGTGCCTATACCCGCTTGCTAAATGGCACAAAATGCATATAAAGTATTCTATTGTTAGTAATAAATTTATGTATGTATAGTAGTTTTATTTTATTTTTTATATCTGTGTAATTAATATATTTTCAACATAAAACATAATAAAAATATATATGCCTTATAATACACTGCTCTTTCTCAGGCAATGAATGAGGCTGCTCAGAACTTGGTGGGATACCATGACTTCAGAAATTTCTGCAAAATGGATGTGGGAAACGGAGTCGTAAATTTTTGTCGTCGTATCCTTTCATTGGGCATTTCTCCAGTGAGCTGTGATGTACAGAGAATACAAAATCCTACTTTGCATGCTGAAAGCCATACTACAGAAGTACAGTATAATCAAAATAATATTACCACAAGATCAGGTTTTCCAAGTCTGTATGTTGAAGAAGAAGCAGATGTGAGGAAGGCAGCAAGTAATACATGCGAGCAGTGTGGAGAAACAGGTAGCATGTGTAAAATAGAACCTGGTAATGATGGATATGACATGTGTGTAGCTACAATTGAGGGGCAAGCTTTTCTTTGGCATCAAGTGCGAGCAATTATGGCTGTCCTCTTTCTTGTTGGTGAAGGCAAGGAGAAACCTGATGTTACAACACAATTGTTAGATGTTGAAAAGTATCCAAGGTAAATGTTGTCTTTTAAGTCATTATCTCAGTATCAGAAATTAATTCTATCTTTAAAATCTAGAGAATGATGTTGTGGTTTTATGGTTTAAGCCATTAATATTTAGTCCTAAGGACTAGATAGATTGCTGTAGATTGAATATGTGCAATGAAGGTTTTGTATGTGTGTAATCTTTCACAAGACTTACTGTTAACTATAAACAAGTACCAAGTATGTCAGGCAATGATTTTTTTCATTTGTTATATCATTAGACATAAATATTCACATAGAAATTAACAACCCTACCTTATGTCTCTTTGTTCTAATTACATAAAATAACAATAATAGAATGATGGTAACTGCCTGTGGAATTATATTGCTGGTCAATACTGTTGTTTTTATTCTGACAGTAATCACTGTCTAGACATTGGTGCCATTGAAAACCTCTCAGTGCCAGTACTAGTACACAGATCAAAGGTGCAAAAATGCCTAAAAGTCTTTGAATATAGTCCCAAAACATATTGAAACACGAAAGGTAACTGATAGAAGCCTGTTATAATAGAATCATTTTCTGGGTGGGGAGTTCTCAGTAGCTTCCCACAGGGAAGTACTGTACTGGTCAAACAAGGCCTTTTGAGACCCACTCTTGCCTTTCAGAAGGTCAGACCAGAATCTGGTTTCATTGACAGATGGGGGATTAGAAATCTACCTCAAAACTGAGAAGATAGCCCACCAGAAAGCATAAATAAAGAAATAAGCATTATGAAAAGCAGATATCTGAAGGTAACAAGACAAATAATTATTACTGCAATGTAAACACACTTTATTGGCACCTGCTCATCACCAGGTGGCAGCCCAGGTCACTTAACCACTGAACTGCGCAACAAGCCTGCAGGCGCTCGACGGGGGGTGCGCAACGCGCCTCCGGGATCTTATATTTTTAGCGTACCATTCAAAACTGGCATGTGGTGATGCGGGTACAAAATGGATGCCTATAGGTCCCAGTGAGCATCTGCTATTTTGATAAAAAATCCCAGCATGCCCTAGGACTGTGGGGAGCCTCAGTTTCAAAGAAGCAACCATGTCTGATGCATTGTCTACGAGCTCCTGCTGCACAGTCAGCTGCGGTCATGGAAAACGACTCTGAGGAGGAAATATGCAAAAAAATTTATGATGATGGTGCTATGGATGATGACTTAGACTATGATCCAAAGAAAGACCTTACACAGAGGTCTGATACGAGTGAGGGAGACACTGAGGTGGAGGGACAGTTGCAAGGTGAATATGTTGACAACAATTCACACCAGTGTCATGTTGGACAGTGGCAAAGCGCATTTTCAAAGTGCAGTTTGAAAGTGCATCAAGTGCGCGCTTCCCAATATATAAACCTGATTGTGTCATAGACTACAACGTGAACATGCGCCTAGTAGATAAATGTGACACGATGCTCGGTGCTGTCGAGTGCGTTTGTAAGTCTGTGAAGTGGACGAAAAGGTTCTTTTCCCACCTCATTGATGTTGCAGTGCTCAACTGTTTCAACATGTATCTAGTAAAATCAGGCAAGAGACCCCCAATACGAACACTCAGTGTTGCTGTTGTGTCACAACTGCTCGTAAAGTATGGCAAGGAGGGCTCTGTTGCACCGCGCGAGGTGCCAGCAACAATGCCACACACGCAGTTCCAGACAGGCTGAGGGGTAACGAGATGTTCGGTGTCCACATGCTCGAATATATGCCAGGTATATGATATATGCCATCATGGGAAAAGGGTAAACATGCCTGTATTGTATGCAAGAACACTACTCGTAGAGAACAAAAGTGAAGATGCATCAGCACCTGGTGCGTTGAGTGCAAAGTTCCACTATGCCCCGTCACCTGTTTTGCAGCATCTCTCACACTCGCGGAGTTCTGAGTGTGTTGATGGTGTGTGTGTATATAGTGTGGGATACTGTACAGTGTGTAAATATTTTGTAAATACAGTATACATAAATGAGCATGAAACATTAGAAATATGTGCAAGATATGTAAATACATTTGTGATGCACGTAACACAGTGTCTTCGGACAGTACTGATGTTCTACTGCCATAATATTGTGTACGTGTTCATTATACATAAGATTGGCAAGAAAAACAAAACAAATGCATTTGGAGCTGTGCGCAAAAATGAACAAAAATTTATTTGTGGCAACTCGTGCATCTTGAACCTGGCGTGCGACTGCCCCTGGGAGTCTACGCCACATGCGACCAGCAAATCGTGTTGTCATGTGACATTTTCCGGACTCCATTGCGGTCAAAGTAAGTACAATTTTGAGTTTATTTTTACATTTCTGTTTGGAGGGCGAGCAGCACAGTGGTTAAGGGTATCCCCCACACATCCCAACTCTTCTAGTCTCCTTTAACACTATCACGCGCTGGGCATAGACTTGAGCACTTAGAAGTCATGTCCCCAGCGTGTGGGCGAGCGTGCGGGCAAGCGCGCGGGGACACTGAAATCTGTATACTCGTTTCAGTTTTCTCACTTTAATTCTCGTGCTGTTGTTCGTTTCGGTATCATTGTGTTCACAATAGAATTCCCTACAGAAGTATATGCATATAATGTCCAAAAGCCAGGCATGACTCCCAACAGCAAAGCCTAAAGTCTGCAAAAGTTACCCTTGAGCGCACAAAATCAGTAAAATGTGTTTACTCGTTTCAATTTTCTCACCTTAACCCTTCAATTGCGCATCGCATCATATGATGCTTTGACCGACTTGCAGTAAATTGCGCATCGCATCATGTGATGCTTTGGAGTACTACGCAAGATTTAAACGGCCCGCGGATAGACGGGGTTCACCACACCTTCATCAGGGATCTTGTAAACAGACGCCATTTTTTTAAAAAAATCGTGGGCCAAACTCCCGGGTGTTATTGGCCTCAGTATTGAATCAGCTACCAAGCCTGATGCACGCAGCATGAGCTCACAGCACTGCTGTTCAACTTGTGACCTCAGCATCGCCTAAAAATGCCATAATATACTTGTTCATGCTATTATGTAGCGATGATATTATTACAGAAGACCCCTGACTGTGATAAAACTGACCAGGGTTCTGATAATAGCAGGATTGTGGTGATATTTAGCGCTGTGCTCCACGGAGGGAGGAGTAATGCTGTGGGAGGGAGGATGGCGGCGTTGTCTTTTGAGTGTATGTGGCCACCTTTTATTGACTGCACTCACCATACCAGCTTAGTGGTTCGCTATGGTGAACACAAATGTAGATACTTATATATAACGTGTGTATAGTGTGAGATAACAGCGAGAGTAGGAGGTTGGGAGCCGCCATTTTGGTGAGGGTGGAGCGTCGTCTGCAGGACTTATCATGTTGTTTACTGATGACCACGATGGTCTTTGGGCACCATACCAGTTTACTTGTACAAGTATGGTGAATAAAACAAGTAGATATTTATATATAATGTGTGTATATAGCATAATAACACCACAAACAGTATTGTTGTAGGAGAAATATTAATGCATCTGGCCTTGAGGGCGGCCGCCACCAGCTGACTGTGTGAGTAGCTACGTCTCTGTGCCTTTACTCACCATACAAACTTAGATGTACAGTTATGGTGAACAAAACATGTAAATACTTATATATAACGTCTGTATATAAAAGCAAAAACAGTATGGTGGGTGGAGAATGGTGGCAAGTCAGGTGAGGTGAGGGAGGGAGTGGCAGCCAGTGGCAGCCAGTCACTGCCTGCCACTGCCACTGCCACTCAGTATACCAACTTAGTGGTTTGTCATGGTGACCAAAACATGCAGATACTTATATATAACCTGTGTATATAGTGTAATAACACTATATTGAACAGTGAACAAAGTATTTGTTCACTGTTTGATGAACATAATTGAATCAACAATATGCACACCATATTTTTTAGTACAGCGATGATTCACTCATTTTATTATATAAATATATCACACTACACACTATTGAATAATATTACAGCAAAAAAACTACGAAAAATCAATCAGAGACATTGAAATAATTAGGTAATTATCTCTTTGTGGAAACTCTGGCCTGACAGCTGGCGATCAACAGATCGCCTGGGACGCACGCTCAGTCAGCACCTGATTTTTGCCACACTTCCCGCCCTATAGTGGGCAATATATGCCACTTAGGATTTTTTTTTTTTCCCGTGATCAGTGAACACAAATTAACAGGTTAGGAAGAAAAAATTATTTTTTATTTTTTTTTTTTTTTTGGTATGCGCCTGTGGGTGTCAAATGGCATATAGCTATGCGCCATTTAAGGGTTAATTCTCGTGCTATGTCCTTCATTTTGGTATCATTGTGTTCACAATTAAATTCCCTGCAGGTGTATATGCATATAATGTACAAAAGCCCGGCATGATTCCCTGCAGGAAAGCCTAAAGTTACCCATAAATGAGCACCAATTGGCACACTGCAACCTAATGTGTATACTCGTTTAGTTTGATAACATCAATTTTCATGTTAAGTCTTTCATTTTGGTATCAAATTGTTTGCAATAGAAAGGCACGTATTTTAAAACTAGTGTCATAATAATAGAGCAATAACTGGAATTTTAACAAATATTTTAATTTTGTATGCTCATCATCACAAAAATATTTATATCTTTCCAGTGTTCTGACATAAATTTTTGTGTTACATCTTTCATTTTGGTATCAAATTGTTCGCAATGTAAAGGCACGCATTTTAAAACTAATCCCAAAATAATAGGACAATAAATAGAATTTTAACATATATTTTAAAATTTTGACCAAAAACGTATTTATAATCTTTTAAGTGTTCTGACATCAGGTTTTGTGTTACATTTTTCACTTTGATATCAAATTGTGCGCACTTTTAGGGTGCTTATTTTGAAGCTATCCCAAAGTCGATCGGGTAAAAAATGAATTTTATGCAAATATTTTTGTATTGGACGCGAGCACTGTCCACTGCTAGGACTCGAGAGAAAAAATGTGGACGTGAGCGTCGTCCACGGCCATTGATACTGTTAAGGT